CTCATCCGCGGAACTGGACTTCCTACTCCGCTTCCCGATAAAGCCACATGTGACAAGTCCTGTGGATTTTTTGAGCAATCAGTCGTGGGGCGGAATTTGCAGTCTAGCGTCCAAAGATGAGTTTCGGAACTTGGATCGGGATATTGAGACATCATCGAAACGCTGGAAAAAGCTCGTGGAATCTGAGCTGCCGGAGAAGGAGAAATTTCCGCAGGAATGGAAAAATAAAACCGCCTTGCAGCGTCTATGCATGATCAGAGCTCTGCGTCCCGATCGCATGACCTATGCACTAGCGTAAGTATTTTCTATAATAATAAAAATGAAATTTTAATGTCATTCACTTTATATCAAAGTGACTTTATTGAAGAGAAATTGGGCTCCAAATATGTGGAGAGCCGCGCCATGGAGTTTGCCAAGTCATACGAAGAGGCTAGCCCATCCACGCCCATCTTCTTTATACTCTCACCAGGCGTCAATCCCCTGAAAGACGTTGAAGCTTTAGGCAAGCAACTAGGCTTCTCCATGGACCTGGGTAACTTTCACAACGTGTCCCTGGGCCAGGGCCAGGAATCGATTGCTGAGGCAGCTATGGACACGGCAGCCAAAAGTGGCCACTGGGTTGTCCTCCAGAACATTCACTTGGTACGCAAGTGGTTACCCATGCTGGAGAAGAAATTGGAGCACTATGCCGATGGCTCACATCCTGACTATCGCATGTTCCTGAGCGCAGAGCCTGCCTCAACGCCATCGGCGCATATTATACCACAGGCAAGTGTTGGGTAGAGTATTAAATAAAGTGAGTGAACGATATTTTTTGTAGGGTATATTGGAGTCCTCCATAAAGATCACCAACGAGCCGCCAACGGGCATGTTGGCCAATCTGCACAAGGCCTTGGATAATTTCACGCAAGAAACTCTGGAGATGTCTGGCAAGGAGGCCGAATTCAAGGCTATTCTTTTTTCGCTGTGCTATTTCCATGCTGTGGTAGCTGAGCGCCGCAAATTCGGCGCCCAGGGCTGGAACAAGATCTATCCATTCAATGTGGGCGATTTGAATATCAGCGTATCAGTGCTGTATAACTACTTGGAGGCGAATGCCAAGGTACCTTGGGAGGATTTGCGTTATCTATTCGGTGAGATTATGTACGGCGGCCACATTACTGACGACTGGGACAGACGCTTGTGCATCACCTATTTGGAGGAGTATATGCAGCCGGATCTGGTTGACGGCGAGCTGTTCCTGGCGCCCTCCTTTCCCGCCCCACCCAACACGGACTATGTGGGCTATCACAACTATGTGGATGAAATGATGCCGGCCGAGTCGCCTTACCTGTATGGCCTGCATCCCAATGCAGAGGTTGGTTTCCTGACCACCCGAGCGGAGAACATATTTCGCACCGTCTTCGAGATGCAGCCACGGGATGCCGGTGCCGGCGGCGGTGCCACAGTAACGCGCGAGGACAAGGTCAAGCAGATTGTGGACGAGATCATTGAGAAGCTGCCTGAGGAATTTAATATGGTCGAGATTATGAACAAAGTGGAGGAGCGTACGCCCTATGTGATTGTGGCGTTCCAGGAATGCGAGCGCATGAACTACCTGACCAGCGAAATGAAACGCAGCCTGAAGGAGCTCGATCTAGGCCTGAAGGGCGAACTAACCATCACTTCGGACATGGAGGTGCTCGAGAATTCGTTGTTTTTGGACCAGGTGCCGCCGATATGGACACAACGTGCCTATCCCTCGCTGCTAGGGCTCAACAATTGGTTTATCGATTTGTGCCTGCGACTGCGAGAGCTGGAAACATGGTCCACCGATTTTGTGGTATGCCGACCCGACCCGACCCAACCAGTTTGCAAATATTTATGCTTTTTGCTTTGTGTCCCGATTGCAGCTACCCTCCTGCGTCTGGCTGGCGGGCTTCTTTAATCCCCAATCATTGCTAACGGCCATCATGCAGAGCACAGCGCGTCGCAACGAGCTGCCGCTGGACAAGATGTGCCTACAGTGTGACGTGACCAAAAAGCAGAAGGAGGAATTTACGTAAGTGCCGGCCGACAAAGAGCGACACACACGACTTTATTGAAACGCAATTTTAATTGACTTTGGCGCTGACCCCCAGCTACGCGAAACAGATATCAGTAGACTTGTGACCGATTTTAAAACCATTGTCTGGCATTGCATTGGAGATGACCATTTGACGGCACTCAATAGGACATATATTGGTATATATGCGTATATAGTATAATTGTTTTCCTGCTGCGGAAAGGCCTTCATCAGTTCAAGTTCTCGACTGATAGCTATAAAACTGCTAAGTGCTCAGTACTGACAACCCAATTAGGCGACACAGGCACACACACATGTGCATACCTTACTCTAATCATTGCTAGAGAGGAGCGCATGAGCGACTGCAATAAGCTCGTGTTGACTCGTGCTTACACTTGTTGAGATTGTGTAAAGTTGTGCTGAGTCGTGCTGTTGAGCTCATGGTTAGCTTGTAAAGACTGTGTAGAGTCGGCTGAGTCATCCGCACATAGCTAATCGGCATGCTAATATAATCAGAAACCATTATATTTATAATCCGTGTTTTATCATCTTAAGATCTCTCTGGGTTTTCATTAAGCCGTTCCCAACCACATCGTGTTAGACCGTCCCATTGAACACGACACGTGCTCAGCACTACTTGTCGTATCAACTATGTAGCTATGTAAATCTACATGACTTGTGTCAATACTTATACTGGGAAGATAGTGTAAACAGCGGCTCATCCGGCCAACGGCTTCAAGCTGAGTCTAATAATAGCTGCAATGCTATGCCATGAGGGCTAATTTTAGACACAGCACCAATACACACACAGCGAATATTTATAAATAGCAATTAATAATTAAGTGTAGTTAACAATTGTCTATTTGCCGACTGTCTTGAGTCTTGATTGTTGATAGTTGATACACGGATTGCTTATTAAGTGGCGCCCAGTTTCTCGTATTTTGAATTTGGCGTCAGACAGAGGCGCCCCACTAATTGGCAGAGCTTAGTGAATAATCCATGCTTAATCGATATCAATTGCAAATCTCTGTCTGAATTTAATTACAGTACGGCACCGCGGGACGGCTGCTGTGTGCATGGCATCTATATGGAGGGCGCCAGATGGGATATACAGCAGGGCATTATTATGGAATCACGTCTCAAAGAACTATATCCCTCAATGCCAGTGATCAATATTCGAGTGAGTTTGTAATGCAAATGCCGAAAAGCGAATTCTAGATAGAAATACCCATTTGAATTTGGAACGGATCTGTGGCGTCTAAAAAGCGGCGCATGTTTGCATAAATTCAATTCTAAAATAAATATCCATATATCTCTCCACACCCGCAGGCCATTACCCAAGACAAGCAGGACATGAGGAACATGTACGAATGCCCCGTATACAAGACACGTACCCGTGGCCCAACCTATGTGTGGACCTTCAATCTGAAGACCAAGGACAAGCCAGGCAAATGGACACTGGCGGGCGTTGCTCTGCTTCTGCAGACTTAAGTTTAGCCTTATTTATTGGACAACAATTTATTTATTGGAATATACTTATAGATTTTCCTAATATTGTTAGCATATTAGAGTAGCAAATCAAATTGTATTCCTCCATGTAGTGTAATTTTTCAAGCAAAAAACTTCTGTAGAATACGACTAAAAAGATTTTGTGACCTTAGTAGATATCTCACATATTTTTTCATTATTCTTAGCACATGTTTTTTCTCAAATAAAATCACTTTCTTCGTAGGAATGCCTTAGGCGCACTAGCATAAAACCCAAAATCCAAACTCGTATTATTTACAAGGGTATCGAAGTTGTTTCATGGGTATGAACATCATAAACAATAATATGATTACTTGTTTGTAAATTGCATTGTCGCAGCATATATAAACAAATGTGTAAAAACGAACCAAATGTGTAAAAAATCCCATGAAAAATCAAACAGCACATTTATTGTTTATAGAGCGTGCACCTTGTGCCATTAGTCAGAGTATTTTGATAATACTTAAAATAAAATAATCTAAATGTCTTGAATGAGTTGTGAGATAATCGTGGTCTATATGTAAAATACGTCTGTCTATAAGTAAGCTGATAAGACAGGAAAAAAAAACTTCTACAGACGCACAAAAATGTGAATCTAAATCAAAAATCAAATGCGTCGCGCTTTCATAAATAACGATCTGCACAGACACGCACACATGGACGTATATATGAAAATATTTCAGAATCGCCAGCGCAAAAAAAAAAAAAAAAAAAAAGAAAAAATATAAAAGAAATATTTGAGCATCAAAGGAAATTCATAGACGACGAGTGGACTGAACTCGTGGTCGTCGTCAAAAAATAAAAAAAAGTATGCACATATATAATAATGAAAATAAAACAATTTTCAAATATTTCTTTTCTGACGAAATTTGAACGATGCCAGCGGACAGTATCAAGCGAAACGTGAACGTGAACCAATTAACGAAAAAGTTGAGCAAAAAATACCCAAAAACAAAAAAAATCCGAACTCAAAATTTCAGATGTGACGACTGACTGCATGAAATACATAAATAATTCAAATAATTAAAAAAAAAAAAAAAAAAAAAAAAAAACACACACACACACACACAAACAAAAGCCACCAAGGGGGCTGGGGAACGTGACGCGTGACCCGCCTACAGAGCTATCGATCAAGCGATCAAACGAGCGATCGATCGAACGGCTGTACCAAGCACATACTCACATACACACACGCTAACCCAAACATACACAGAATACGGTGGCATACACACACACACACACACAGTAAAGAAATAAAATAAAATAAAGGCAAAATGTACAAAGCAAACGAAAAAAACTGAAGACGACGACACGAGCGTAAATCAATTTTAGCATGGAAAAAAATTCTATAAAACTAACAGACACTGTGTGGTCGGACATCATTCGTGTGCGCTACGACGAGCCAGCCCAAAGCCAAAGCCAAAGCCAAGATAGCCAGCCAGATAGCCAGCGAGTCAGCCAGTCACACAGTCAGTCAGCCAATCAGTTAGTCAGTCAGTCACTGATTTTGATTGATTATTGAACCCCAAACTCGAAACTGAAAATTCGAACGTGCCTTTCGGTTCTCAGTGCATGTGTGTGTACGAGTGACTGTGTGTGTGTGTGTGTGTACACACATAGTTATCTCTGTATCTAACAGCAGCAGCCGCACCAGCCGCAGCAGCCTCAGCAGCCACAGCAGCCGCAACCGCATCCAGCTTCAGTCTCATCCGTCAGTCCAACGGCCAGAGTCAGTGTCAGAGCTAACTCGCTCTCCCTGTCTCACTCTCTCTCCGCATCACGCTCGTTCGCTCGCTCTGTGAATCTATCTCGGTTGCCCACTGGCTGGAGGATATCTTTGCGCTTGGTTCAGTTTCAGTTCGTATTTGGACGCGGCCTCGCCGACGTGTGTAAACGGAATCAGTGCGTGCACATACTTCTAGCAACGACTGTGTCGCGTATTTAACAAACAACATAATAACATATATATAGTGGATATAGTAATATATACACGTGTCTGAAGTTCAGTGACAAGCTATATTCTTAGCCCAACATAAATACTTATAAAGTATACGGCATATATATACATATACACATATATAGATAAATATATATACAAGCATATATAGTTATCGTGCTAAACAAAAATCTAGCGCCGCATAAATAATACTTCTATCTATATACACGCACGATTTTAACCCGCAAAGTTCACGCGTCGCATCTCAATAAATATAAATATATAAAATTGTGCGACCGAGTTTTTAGTTATTTGCTGGTGTGATAGATAATAGCGAACTCATCTTTAGAGGCGCATCGTAAAATAAATATACACAAATAATAAAATAAACATTTCAAATATATATACATATAGATATATATATATATTTATTATATACATAAATCAATCTACATAAATTACAACAGAATGAAGCTGTTTGCAGTATTCTTGGCATGTAAGTATTCATATCGTACTCATATATATTTGATTATTAGTTTTTTTTTTTTTTTTGAAAATTTATTTTTATTACTTATTGAAATTTAATGGGCTTTACATATTGAATTATAATATCGCAAATTCCAGGTATAATATCGCAAATCTGTTGCGAACATCTAACGAAATTCATTTAATATTTCCCAGAATTTGTAATTTAATTTACTTAGCTTTACACTGCGCAACAAGAATATTTTTCGAGAATTAAACTTTTACTCAGTAGACATAAACTGAAAAATTTTTAACTTTGCAAGAATATTCAAAATTTTCAAATCCTATCTCATGAAATAATTCAATTGAAAATTAAAATACAATTTTTTTTAATAAATAAACTGGATGAATTTTGTATATACAAATTTTGGATTTTATTTACTTTTTTATTTTATTTTCATGTATTTATATTGCAATTTTTGTTGCTTGGTATATATATGGTTAATATATTTATTTACAATAAAATCACAGTTGTGATTGTTGTTTAATTTTTGCAATCAATTTAATACTTAAAATTTCCAAAGCAACAACAGAACTGACCTATTTACGCATTGATACCGAAATATATTTTACATTATTATTCAAAATTACATTTTTCAATAGAAGGCAAAAATATGAATAATATTAATCATAATTATTTAAATAATATTAATATATCCCTTAAGATATATATTTTTATTTTATACATTTATTTTTATGTGATTTAATTTAACATTATAATATTATAAATATATTGTTTGCTTTTTGGCTTATTAGCTGATGGGTGTTAATAGCAACACGTCAATTCTTTGTAGTCAGAGCTGACTGTTCCAGGTAATAACTGAGTATTATTGTCGAACTTTCCGGCCGGCCAATGACATGCCAGACAGGCTGGCGTCTAGAATAAATGGGCGTACGATCGAATCGATGGATTGAGTTTTTTCTATTGATGATATCATATTGGGTGGATCGCATTGGCATGCAGAGCATGTTGCCAGGCAGCGATTGCTTCTTCTGTTTCTTCTTTTGCTTGTTGTTGATTGTGTGTTCCGCTTAACTAACTATTATGGCCATTGTGTTTATTTATAGTGACGCTCTATGCGCTGACACTGGTGCAGTGCCTCAGCCTGCCCGATCCGAATGTGAAGTGCAACATGGAGTGCGATACGCAGGAGAATCAATTTATATGCGCGGCGGATGACAAAGGAGTCACCAAAACGTATCGCAATGTTTGTATTATGAAGACCGAGAATTGCCTCCAGAATGCAAGTAAGTTAGCATATATTATATTGAGGAAATTTTGATATTCTATATTAAATGATATATGTATTTGTCTTTTAGACTTTCAGAAGATCAGCGACAAGGAATGTCCATAGATGCTAGAGCCAAGTCCCAGCTTTGACAGTGCGCAAATTTAGAACGATGACAAAACTCATCATACTTTCAGTTTTTGCGTGGTATTTGTGTGTGATATTTTTAAGTTGTGCTGCAGCAGAATACAAAACACGCCCCTCTCTTTAAAGCCTCTTACCCTACCATATGCCCCATCCCAAGCTACAAATATGTAATACATATATAATGATAATATATTTTGTAATTATTAATTTTAAAATATTTAATAAAGTAATATACATACAGTAAACACTCATACGATCTGTCTTGAATAACAGTGAACTCGCGTACTCACATGTGTACAGTGTACACACAGCTTGTTACCCGGGGGAGGATTCGCTTACAACGACACTTTGTGATCTATTATAAATGATGACTTCATCTCATTTTTACCCCAACACATCTGCCTTTTATTTTTATTCTCTTCTAATCTCTGGCCAAACGGTTTTGAACTATAGCTCTGAATATTGAATTAAAACATCTGCCTTGTTTAGCAAATCATGTACTGATAATCCCCATCAACCCATACACGCGCACATCCAAACACTCATACAGACTCAGACAGACTCAATCTCGTTGCTACGCATCACGTGTTGAACAAAACTGAATGGATTCGACGTCAGAGTTTGTTCACTTGGCTCCAAAGTCAAAACAAATACGAACATTTTACACCTAGCTTGCACATTAGTATTAGCTCAATTGGTTATTTATATAACAGTGAGTAGGCACTTCAGATTGTGTACTAAGAAATAATCTAGAACAATGTAAGAAGCAATAGAAATGCTTGACCGTAAGTAAATAAGTGTGCGCAGTGTGACTTTGACACATTTCTTGTCAATTTAAAATAGCTTAATATTCATTGAAAATATTAATATAAGCTTTATTATTGCTAAGTAACAGAGTATCTAAAAATATAAAATACAAATAAAAATGAAAACTCCACAGGATAAAGCCCACGCCCCATTAGGAGTGAGTCAGACAAGGTAATTCATTAATACATAATTTTCTATTTAGGCTTTTAAGGTATAATGTGAAATATATTTATTAAAAGAATATCAAATGGGCATACATAAATGCTTTTTTTTTGTTTTGTTTTTTATAAATAAAATTAAAATAATTTGTACAACTATTTTTTTTAAATTAAATTTAAAAGTAGGTGTTATAGGTAAAATTTTTTTGCCGTGTACTTATATAGTATTTAAAAAATATATATAATAATAATATAATTTATTACTAACTTTAACAATCTGAACAAATATTTTTAATTTCAATTTATTTCACTCTTTGTTATAACTACATGATTTTTTGAATGGTATTTTACAATATTTTAAAAGTTTAGGCTAATACATAGTCCTTTTTTGCTAAGTTATTTATTTACATGACATATGGATATGCGATAATACAAACGTAATAACTATAACGTCCATATTCTTACTTCAGGGTAAATTCGACTTGATACAGCAATTTGACTTTTTGAAAAAGCTTATGCATGGAGGGGGTAAGAATAGCATCCCCTAAAAGCTCGTTGCGTAGTAAAAGCTCCAAGCGCTGCGTGAGCGTGAGTTGTGGGCGTGTGCGTGTGTGTGTATGTGTGTGATGCTTTTGTCCATGGGGCGCGCGCAAACTTTTCGTATCTTGCACCGACAACTGTGAAGTTGTTTGGAAATTTTTTGGTCCATTCATCTGGCAGCCAGTGCTGGGCAATCAGTACAACAAATACCGTTAGATGGCACAGACGCCGCTGCGACGGTCGCGCATTGAACAGATCCTGACAACGAGCCAGACGACGTGGACGTGGAAGCCGCTTCATTTGGCGCCACATTAAAGTGCTACGACCGAGGTCCTTGCGGCCCGTATCTTTCTCTCGCTGCGTGTGGCTTACTTGTGTGTGAGTGTGAGTGCGTATTACTCTATTAGTGTGTGCGTGTATATTTATTTGTCTGTGTGATTTCGCGCGCTTTTGTGTCGCCTGCTTTAACTGTTTGTCTTGGCCACTGCCTTAGCCCCGGCTCAAACAAAGGCGGCAGCCAGCACAAAAGGACCGTCCAGAATTCGAGTTGTGTGTTATTTGCGGGCATATTGATCAACTGCTAGCAATTAAATTCAATTGCTGCTTAAATTAGGCATTTTATGGCCGCCAGACAACAAAAGCTCACCACGATTTAAGCCAAATAGCGTCGCCGGGTAAGTGTTAGTGTGAACTCTGGATCAGTTAACAGCTACCAGCTGACCACCTCCAGCGACCATCTCCATATGGATGGACCTTATAAATCAATTACGGAGTCACCTAAAGCTTGCCAGCTGCCACAAGACTAACTGCCAGCTGCCAGCCCATATAAATGTTGCGTTTCCGTGCTAAACGCATCACCGAATTCAAAGTGCCTTTTACTTATTTTATCTCTTTTATCTTTTATCTCATTAAAGGGGCTTTTATTGCGTGACAAAAGGTGTAAAGTGTATTGCGATAATTTTTTAGTGAACGTCGAGGGCGAAAATTTTAATGCGCTGCCAAAAATGTCACGCGCAGGACTATAATAATTCCTAGAAAATTATGTTAGGTTATGTTGCATAAGTATATATTTACATTTGTGTATTAAAAACTTCAATGATATTAGTCTGGAATATATATGCGCGGAAAACCAACAGGGAGATTTGAGATTTTTTTCGGTATAAATAGCTCAGTGTTCGATTTTGTTTCGTAAGTCTTGTGTACAGGGTATTTTGGCAACGAACAGTCTATCAATGTCATCAATTTCTACGTGTTCATTACACGCACATCAATCTCTCTCCAAATTCACTTCAGGGCTTTCTGGTTCAGTTTAAGGCGTCAGTCACCGAACTAAATAACGCTGAGTCTCCTTTTTTTTTATTATGTCTCTGTCCAATTCAATGCATAAAGTGAAACTTCTTTTATGCGCATTTTAACACATTGGCCACGGCAAATTTCGCCCGGAGAACTTAACATATTTTGATAAAGGCGAAAAGGGGGAACTGCTTAGAGCATTAAACGTTACTTTTACGACGAACCATTTGCATATTATGAATAAGCCATTGCGTTTCAATGAAATCTTTTGCTGTTTTTATGATTTACCGTAAAAAATAGGGGAAGACTGAAAATGAAATTGTTTACCGGTTGTTAATGTATTTGATTTAGATATATTATCATAATTTGATTTCCATGTATTTGACCTTGATTTAGCTGGATTAAGATCCTTGAATTCTTGTGACTGAGCTAAACATTTTGAACTTGATAATATTTTTCCTTGACTTTTCTTTTTATACTCCATATAAATTTTACTGCATTCTGCACGCACAATGTGCATTTGCGTCATATGTATATTTCTTAAGCATACGTTGCATTCCCTGTATAAAATTTCAGACATAAAGCTTCGCTCTTATAGTACTAGGTTTATAGTTATTTTAGTGCAGGACATTAGAGTAAGTAAGTGAAAGTGGGCTTAAAAGCACATCGGGACTTACAATTATTTCTGGCATCAGCTCGAAAATCGGACACTAATCCAAAGCTCTACAATCCCCAGTGTATACATGGGATTAGCATGCTTTAAAATATGGGCATTTAATAGACGCAGAAAAGTGTTAACAGTGCTTATCAGAGCAGCGTTCGGCCTCAACTCAATTGGGCACAGTTTTGGGGCCAAGGTTGAAGGTGCGCTCTCTGGGCATTTTGCTAACTCACATTAATTATGTTTAAATATTTAGCCTGACAACTGGAAGATTTATTATGCCCATCGCACATACATATATGTTACAATGATTAATGGCCTACGAACTATATACGCATTCGGAATTGGCTTATGAAAGCCCCCGCTAATAGATATTTATGCAATGTCCAATGTAAAAGCATAACTGTCGTTCATTTGGCCAACGAGTCAAATTGTAAATCGTAAGCCCGAAATGAAATAAATTCAAATTTGCAATTTTTAAGTTACTTTTACGATAGTTTTAATTTATAATTTACTAGAAAATGTACTCTTATCAGGCAAAAACAAATTGAAAATACATATGATATTTTTAATGATTTGATCTCATTTCTCCACCCAAGTAAAACTAAAACTATGCTCCTGAAAGTATGCTGTATCTTCAGAAAAATTAATTGAAATAATGGATTATTATAATAATCTTTTATTGGCGAGCTTGAATCGTATACATAATTAGGAACTGTTAATATTATTCATTAAAAATTTATTCGTCCGCTGAACCTTTCAAATATAGCTATATGTTTATACTGTTAATTAAATACAAAATTTATCCTTTAACATCTTTATTGTTTGTAGGATATACTTTACCTTAATTATTTATAGCTGCTATTATTGCAAATGTATTTATGCATATATTTAATTTATTTCTATATAGTTAAAATTGAAATTTTAAGAATGTCCTGAACATGATTTTCATTGAGGTAAACAGACATTTTGAAATTATTTATTATTAAAATTTTCCAATCGATTTATAAACGCAGAGACTATCAACACTTAATGGCATTACAGATAAGCCTGCTATTATTTGTATTCATCTCTGTATACATATATAACTGTGTGCGTGCGTGTGTATGTGTGAGCTATGCTGCAGGCGTTTGCGCGAGTGACTTGACTTACAATTAGGGGCAATCGCAAGGAATCACGACGTCTGACGAAATTTGAGGAGTAAAACGTGCGTCTTTAAATTGATGCATTGTTAGCCTAACATTTGCTTTTCATTTTTTATTTTTCTTTCTTTTTTTTCTTTGTACGCTGGAAACGCCTTTACCGTATCCAGGCGCCAAGTTCCGAGCACCGAGTTCCGGGCCAAGCACGCAAATTCGACGGCCATGGAAAACTTGCGCCATAGAAATAATTTAGACAATGGGCCACTCGTGCGCAAATGCCATACCCAACCAAATGGTTGTGGCGGTACGGAAGAGCTCCTAGTGGATGGGATATGGTTATGGTCACACTCACACACATACGCACACACTTGCACTCACAGTCACACACTGGACAGACAATCAAAACAGAAATAGAGGCGACAAATTTAGTGCTGTTTTGCTGCTCTCCTCTGCTTCGCTTTTTTGTGCATTATTTGGGCGTTATATGAAGTATCTGAGTGGAAGAACAGCCACTGGACACTGATACAAAGCAGCTCCTCTATCTTCTACCCACACACTCACACACACACACACACCCACAGATAGCCACTCATAAACAGCGTGTTCTCGTGTCCGATTGGAGTGCTGTTAGCTGTTGTTGAACGCATGCTTGAAGCACGCACACCTTAACCGCAACCAGGTTGGAGCCGAAAAACAAAACCGAGCGCGTTTAGCATGGCGAACAGTCGACCATGCCTCGGGGACGCCACTCCTTGGCAATATAAGTGGCGTAGATTGCACACACGCTGATGGGCATCATCATCATCATCGTGGCGCACGGCCACAAGCGTGGTTCCCACTCCGTCACACCTGTCCATATTCCCACATCTGGTATTTTCCTTCACAGCATATGCTAAAAGTTCTGGCTCATATTTTCAACGGCCTTTGAAGTTGTGTTTTGCATATTCGGTAAACTTTAACTACTCCTTGGCCAGATATTAAAGCTGGGATAAGTTATCCCAATTGCTGCTCCATCAATATGTTATCAAAACTTTTTGTTAATATAAACAGCTTTTGGTCCACTCTAAATTGTGATCAAACTATTGAAAATGATTTGGACAATATTTCATAGCAGCAGTTTGAAACTTTGTTTTTAGTTGAGAGTTTTTAGTCAAGGGTTGCACATGTTTGGAACTTTTATTGATAGTGAGAGCATGCAATATATTATTTTTATTTCTTTTTTATTTCTTTATAGTCTTTTTTGGTAATAATTATAGAAGTTTCTAACAGCTATTCAATGTAGGTTATAATTTTCAAACAGTTACTTGATTAAATTACGTTTTTCATTTTTTTTTATCAAATTAACGCATAGCCTATCCTGCCTATCATCAAAGACCCTTTTTAAGTTTAAAGAATCCTTTTTGTTAGTCGCAGGGATATATTTTATTAAATTTACTGCGCAGCTGCTCATCGTCCCTTCTCTTACTCTAACATCAGCTCGTAGTTTGGAAAATCATGTTTTTGGTTCCTAAATTGGATTAAATACACAAATTTTATTAAATTTGATTTATGATGGCATTCTCGGCTCGGATTTGTTTTTGCGGCTAAGTGTTTTAACTGAAACCTCTAACTAGAGGTTAAGTTTTTACTAAAAACTGTGGGTAAATTCCGAGTTGGCAACTCAATCACAATTCTAACTAAAAACTTTTTTTCTCGGGTCAGAGCACTTTACATAAAACTATCAATGTTCATTTTGTTTTACAAATTAAGGCCTGGCTTTTTTCATTTTGCAAACTTTAGCAACCAATATTTGTGTTAGTCTAGAAACTTTTGCCAGGTAGTTAAAAACAATAAATAAAATATTCGCCAAGTCAATCGAAAAGACAGTTTTATTGCTTTTATATTATTGGTATTTGAGAAATACCAAGCCAGCTGTCAAGTGCCCTGCACATAGCTCAAAGGGTGAACTTTTATCAGAATTCGTTGTATGTGTATATATGTATATCGCATATATATGTGGATGTAGATCAAAGTTGAACTGTGAGATTTGCCTTGTTGTGTCTGTAATTGAGTTTTATTAGAAACGTGCAAAATTTATAAATTAAAGCTGCATTTTCCTCCTTTTGGGTAGTGTGCTCGCCTAACTGACTAAACTTTTTGAGTTTTGTGTGAAGGCGTGGCTGAGCACACGGCCAAGCGATAATTAATCGTTTTAAGCAGGAGCAATTAATGCTTATGGCAAAACTTTTGTTCATGATTAATAACGAAAATAAGCAAACTTTCAATTTAATAAGAGGATTAACAGATTACACTTTATTATTTACACAAAATGATATTTGTTTAAAGCTGAAATTGAGAATGAAAATGCATCAAAAAGGTCGAGTGTAGGAATAGCAACTAAGGTTATACCCTGTAAAGAGCTTATTTTTTAGATGTTTTCATCATATGGCATATATGCTGAATACTTTTGACAGTAACTGGTAACTTGGTGGTAGTACCCCAGCTCTAAGCATGGAATGATAAATCTATAATATACATTATATGTAACATACATTACACATAGCAGAACCAATTAGCAGCCATATCTCTTGTAATTTAAAGAGGACTTTCAAAACAAATTTCTCTATTTGGCATTTTCATCTCGAAATAGGCAGTAAATTTAATTTATCAGGAAATGCGTGTACAGCACTGTTCACAACACACACCACAAATTAGAGTCAGGCTGTTAAGTCGAAGGGTATTCGTACAGGTAATTCTTGAGTATATAGATAGTGGTTTTAGCAAATTGCCAGTCCCAGGTGAGGCGGAAGCTTGCGGCACGTATGGCAGCCACGTAGGCAGCATGCAATCGGAATGTGGTTCTATTACACATGCATGGCATGGCTCGTACTCATTAAACTTGCCACGGCTGGAGGCGAGCAAACAATGCGAGCAAACAATGCGAGCTCAAATGGAGCAGAGCAAAGTGAATGTACAACATATACCATATGCAGCTCACAAAACCTAGCCAAAATGCAATTCGTAAATTGCTTCGTACGCTGGGCCCAATCGACCAAGGACTTGAGGTGAAGCCGCAGTACCACTCACGCTCACACTCTGTCCCACACACACACACACACACACACACACACCTACACATTTAGCAGCAGCCAAAGCTACTTCCACTAATTACACAAATTGAACGCAATTTATTTGTTGGTGAGCGTTTGCTCCGGCTTCTATCTTCGTTTTCCTGATGCTGCCTCCGCGGGTCTTGGCACCTGCTGCGGCTGCTGTTGCCGCTGCCCGCCGAAAGTGCGAGCAATTTTGTTAATATTAAATAGGTACATGCACAATTATATGCATAATTACACAACAAGGTCATCAGCAGTGGGCCACTATATGTGTGAGCTGGTTTGGGTGAGTGTGAGTGAGTGAGAGTGTAAGTGCGCTGCTTTCATAATTAAACCGCGGCTGGCGCTGTTCACGCGGCGTATACGTAACGTGACTTTTGCAAATTTCCTTATGCCCCGTGTATTTTATGATTTGATGTGTTGTAATTGAACTCACACATAGCCACTTACAAACAGCCACTTACACTTACACACACATAAACACACATATACACTAGCAAACACACTCCAGCCGCTTTGTATGCGTCTGTTACATGATATAAATTGCAATGTGGTTTGCTTTTCTACTTGTCAGCTCATAAACATCAACATAAGCGGATCACAAGCTAAACCAATTCAAGGACTTCTGCTTGGGTCACAGCCAGCTTGACCGGAAGTTGCATTATAAGCACACATCAAACGGAACAAAACAACAACAAGCAACAAGATGGCGGGCGGCGGCAGGACAGCCGGCAAATACGGATATTCAGACAACAATTACTACAGTAGTAAGTAGCCCACGCATATACGGACACGAGCACACATACGGACATCCACACACACATACACACTCTCTCAGATTGAAAGATGTACATACGTATGTATGTATGTATTTACAGGCAATCGCACAGAAGCTTTGACAACTTCATTAACTTGTCACTGTCCATATGACACAGTGGTGCAAACTGTCTCGAAATGTGTATATTAATTACAATACATATTTAATGAACATAGTACATATATACATATAATTTAGTTTACATTAATAAACTTGCTTTTAGCTACATATGTATGTATATGTGTATGATACATTTTCATTTTATTGTACTACGACTTAAATTTCATTTGTTCCATTGTTATTTTTATAAGCAAAACCCTTATCTTAACTAAGTACAAATTGCTTTTATAGTTTATGTTTATATATTATGTTTCTTTGTCTTTGTTCTATGCTTCTGAGTAACTTTTTGATGTCAAGGGCCCTCAGCATCAATTATAATCAGAATAATCTGGTATTCTCACATTATTTCTTTGATTTTTATGTTATTTACGCTCCTTGCTTCTTGGGGTTCTCCACGTTGAATTCCATAGCATTGCCGCGTAAAGCGTTTGAATGGAGGCTTACGCATGGTGCTATTGCCCTATTCATTGGGGGCATCAAGAACAACATTTGGTGGCTTTGGTGGATCAGCCACCGGCGTCGTCTTGACGTTTCATCTTGCCGGTTGCTTTTACTGTTGCTCTTGTTGTTGTTGTTGTAGCTGATGAACTGCCGCCGCTTGGCATACTACACAGTAATCACTGTACGATAGCGAGCTTTTGTGAATTCCTCTTTCCTTTTTTTTTATTACATTTTATTTTTATTTTTGGCAACTTCCACAGACGTGTTTTTATTACATTCGTATTTTGTTGCGTTTCGTATTCTTGTAAACAAGTGTGTGTGTGTGTGTGTGGAATACATATATATATATTTTATACGTATGTATATGTATATATATATATATATATATGTATATTTAGCGTGAGTTTGGGGTTTATGTACATTTTATGCTACCTTGTGCACTGAATATCATTTACTTTTGCTCTCAAATACAAATTCGATTGCCGACTAGGCCGGGCCTTGCATGGAGAGCACGCAAACCCCTGGGATCAAATATTACATAGGCAATGTCTATGAATGAACGTATAGAAGCCATGCCAGCATACGACTTTTTGCTGTGTTTGCATAAAGTTTTGTTTTCTCAGGTCCTAGCAACGCCCAACCACGTCCTCGTCCACTCGCCATTTTAAGTAGGTTTATGCCCTTATGAACGCCTCCGGATCGCCTGCTGGCAACACTTACGTACGTAAGACAGTGCGTGTGTGTGTGATGCCGGAGCTTGGCTGCTGCTTTTGTGCTCTTATATAAAACTTTATCATAGTTTTTGATTGCCACAAATTGTGCGTGAATTATGTATTGTGATCCAGCTAAATGCAATAAATATGTATGTCTATATTATACTGTTAGAATGTGCCGAAAATCCACATACAAAGACCACCTGTCACAGCAATGTATGGGTGTAGGTGTGAGTGTGAGTGTGGGTGCTGAGAGTAGAACGAGCTTGTTAAAGCGAGTTTCATGCCCGCAGTGTTGGTAAACAGCATAAAATGGACATAAAAGAACTTTCGGGATTTGTCTCTATAATTGAAAATAAATATCAATTTTATTGGAATGTGCGTGCTAATGGTTTATGCTGTATATACTTAATTATTATTGCTATTGTTTAGTCAACAAATTGCCTTGAGTGTATTCATTTTTTTTATTTACAAATTGAATTCGATTGCTCGCTCGTCATGTGGATTTCAAACGAATTACATTCTTAAAAATTTATCAACACGTATTTTTATGAATATTTCATACAGCGCTATAAGAGTAAAATTATTTAAAGTGCTTTTGGCAATGCTGGCTGAATTTTTAATAGGTTTAAATGGAATAATGGAAATATTTAGTTAAAGTCGCTTAATTTTTTTTTATTTTTTATTTTTATTTTTGTATCCTAACGCTCACAGCTAAAACCTGGATAGCACTTGAAGTTAATATTTTCATATTTCTTATATAAGTGCGAATTTATTTACATAAATTATATGTTTAAGCAAATTATAATAGAAAATATTAAATGTTATATATATACATATCTAAATGAATTGCCCAGAATTCTTACAAGAGTACAATAGCTAACATCTAACACAGAGCAATTTAAAATATTTGTCCCTACGATCCATTGAGTGCAGAAAACTTCGTCGATTTGGAATATCTGTCATGGGCGAAAGTAATATTATTTCTCTAAATATTGTTTAGCCGGTAAATGTTTAATAGTCGGATAGACAACGTGGGCCCAGGATATGCTATTGAGGTAGACTATAAGGAATGCCCATATGGTTGGCAAAATTCCAGCAACTGCCTAAAGAAGCAAATAGCTCATAATTAGCTCGGTTAAGAGAAGTCAATCTTATGTATGCTTACCAAATATTTGGTCTTAATGTAGCCATAGCCACAAATAATGGCATTTGGGGGCGTGCTGACCGGCAGATGATAGGACATGCTGACGGCCAGTGCGGCTGGAAAGGTTAGCACCAACGGATGAATCTTGACCGTGACGGCCTGCAGGATTGACAAATAGGCCAGTAACTGGAAGTCTATCTCCAAGTGACTTGGGGTAGCTGTACTTACCATCTCGCTGAATATGGGTATGAGTATGTTGCAAATGGCCACATTCGCACTGAAGCACGTGCAGAAGAGGCTAACCACGATAATAAAAGCTATAATTACAGATGATGGCATTACGATGATGAAGGACAGGGAGTCGCCCAGCATTTTGGCCATTCCACTGACCTTACTGCCTTCAGCAAGCGCAAAGCCGCCCCCTAAATCAAAAGTACACTAATAATATTTCACAGAAATATGAAAGAGTTAGATACGATGCTACCAAGCAAAAAACACAGGCCCCAAGGCGTATTATGGTGAAGGAAGATCCAGGACAAGCAGGCGTCCATGCTGCGCCCAGGGAAAGGAGCTGTTTTTAGTAAATACATTCATTGTTAGTTAGTTCAAATAGTCGATTCCAAATTTAGAAGCCTCTGCTAACTTACGTCCTTTACAGCAGTACCTGAAGAAAGTGTACTGTGTAGGCAGGGCGAACATCACAATAACTGTCAGAAGCATCGGCGATGCGCCGCCTATCTGCCTAGATAGGATAAATTAGTTGATTGTTAAATTTGGATGAAAATAACATCTTTAAATCTTTTGCAAATGTTATAGTATTCCTCAGACTCTCTGCATGGCCAGACAGACAATCATTCGACAACAAAAATAGTATATTATGAATTTCAGCATTGTAAACTTACTTAGTATTCAGCACATCCGCCCAGCCTTTCATGAAGCCTGGTCTTTGAAAGAAGAGCAACAGAATCATGAATACGAAGACGACGCCTACTTGTATTTCATGGCAAGTCCAACGACCCAATGCAGAGTAACGCTCCTGGAGCACCAACTTTGTGGTAGCCTTATTTATTGAGCCACGTTTCACTTGCCTAGCCACATCACTCTTCGGTCGCCACAGACCCATGTGAGTTATTTGCAGTGTTAAAAACACAAGAAGTACATTTAGAACTGAGACAAACGGCATAGAATACATTATGAATTTTGGAAAGTCGACTTTTTCCTTGAGATTGGGAAAACGACTGTGGAAAAATGATTTACATAAGAAACATAAGCCGGATCAATTATGCAATATTGCTTACGTTTCATATAAACCCTTAAAGGTCAGATTTGTGCCGGTGCCAATTAGCGTGCCAGTACCTCCAATGGTGGAGGAATATGCAACACCGAAATAGAATGCCATCGATACCTTTGAAAGATGCGGCGGACTAATCAAGAGAATTACGATGTATGCAATGCTGCGCTATTCATGTGAATCTAAGTATGAAGATTACTCACTCGCCCTCTTCCATCCTCTCCTCCTCTTGTGTCATATACACTTGAAATGCGTTTTGCTATATCAAAAATGAAATGGGACTAGAGCATTAAGATGGCTATGGGATTACGTGATTTGTAGCTTACAACATCCATTTCAATGAGAATAGCTTTAACAATGGGACACATCATGGCCGTAGCAGCAGAGTTGGATATCCAAAATGATATAAAGCATGAGACCATGCTAAGTCCGAAGTGTAAACTGTGTAAATGGAATACAAGGAATATCTATACTACTTCCCGCTTTGAATCAATAAAAATTCTTACCGCCGAGGACTGCAGCCCACCACGAGGATAGTGCCCAACGCAATGCGCTGATGGAGATTGCTATATTCAACGCCCAGTGCTACAAAGAGGCCGCCCAGAAACATGATTAAAGTATCAGTAAAAAACAGTTGGCATACAGCATTTGAATCCTAGGAAGAACAGTTATATCGTTTCTATTGAGCTTTAACCAACTGGTTGGCACTCACCAATATTCCGAATAGTGGCAAAAACACTACCGGAAGTATTGCTGTCAAATACAGGGGGATACATTCAGTTACCCAGAAGATTGCCATATTCACTACCAAATACAAGCACCTGAACGCCTTTATAATAATGTTGGATGAAAGTCTTGGGGTTGATCACAATGGGATCTACTTACTGGAGCGTTTTTTGTATAGCCAAGAACAAGGATGGGCAGCGTGATCAATGGCACGATAACGGTCACCTTACCCCTCCAATGGAATTTGCAACATGATTTAACACTCTGACTGGCGGAGATTTTATTTTCGCTGCGTGTGAAGCAAATGCAGTTTTAATAATTGCAAGCTTTTCATTGTGCTCATACTTACTCAGCCATTACAATTTTTTTTTTTGTTGCTATTTTTAATATTTTCTTTCTAAAACTGATTTCACTAATAGTTGATTAAAAGAATAACTAAAACACAGCTCGATTTTAATGAAGCTAACGACAAAGCCAACTTTAAGTTAAACCAACGAACACAACAAACCGAGATAGCTCAGATAGCTGGTCCAATCAGCAAGCTGACCCACATAATGTTATGCCATCCCATATGCTAATTAGGGCCAACCATTCGAACCCCGCGAGCTGATGTCACTTGCAGCGCCGCTTTGATGTTAAATAATTGACAATTTCCTTTCACACTCCCAACTCCAAATGAACAAAAGGTAAATTGAAATTAAAGCTCAGAAGAGGCATTAAAGCGAAAGTCGAAATATTTGTTGGGTTATGGGTTTCTATGGAATGTTGGAGTGGCAGCAAAGTAATCCAGGTTGAGTCTCCATCTGCACAGCATGGGAATCTGTATACATACACATATGCATACATGTATATAAATTTTTATGTGTGTCTGCTTGCTGGCATAAAGCTTCAATCAGAACAAATCACGCTGAGTATTTCTGCAAATTCCTTAATGCTGGCCATAAAGTCCCCCCAGAGACTCCTTCTGTTCCATCTGTTCTCTACCACAAAAAAATAAATATATTGTTCTGACAGATATCAGAAGCATTCATAATAATTATAATAATAATAATAATACTAATTCAAATAACTTTATTGGCAGAAAACAATGAGTGAAACTTAATACGAAAATGTGTGCCACGTGCCCCAGAGGAATGAGCCAGAATTTGGAGCCGACTCGTTGCCTCAGTCTCATTCCTCGCATTTCTCGTTCACTCGCCAATCTCAATAATTTATGCTTTGCTCGCTTGGGGTATTTGTATGCCAGTTCTCATTTAGTTTTCAATTTTGTTCTTTTTTTCGGGGTTTGCTTACGGCACTTGGTATTTCCATTTCTTTTTATTTTGTCTATTTCACAGCTTTACAATTTGACAGCTAAAACTTTTTCTTTTTTTTCGCTGGACATTCTGGGAATTTTTTCACATATCCTTGTTGGTAGGCATTTGTGTGTTAGTTGGGCGAACTTTTTAGAATGCTTTTACATGTTTTTTTTTTAACCATATCAGAAATTGGCTTTAATATTTTCCATAAACTAAAAACTAACTAAAAGTGCGAACAGACCTCTCGATTTTGTTATAAATACATACATATATATAAAAATGTGCTTCTCTCTTTACGTTTCACCTGAGCATATTCATTTTAATTTCAAATTCATATTTGTTTTAATTATGTTTTCAGTTGACTTGCCTTTGCAAGAAACCATGGGCAACATTTTGAGTCAAACTTTCCGCAATTTCAGAATTGTAATTTACACAAGACTTTTCCAGACGTTCATTAAGCATTCATTTATGCTATATATTTTTAGCTATAGCTGTACCTATATCTATGGCTGTAGTTTGCAACAGTCTACCCTCACTTATTATTCTTTGTATTTATATACAATTAATTCATAGTCTAAGCAGAACAGCTGCATACTAGAGAGCGATAGAAAGCATTGCCTACATCTAGGGGCTGTAAGAAAAATTCCTTGAACTTGGTTAAAGGACACTGGCCCATTAGGCATGCCACTTGACTTCTATTTATTAGGCCATATAGTCATCAGATTGTTAAAAGCCGACTTGAGTTCAACTAACTGAAGTAATTTAAGGCACCTAATTAACAGATCCAACGCGACGCAACGGTTGCTTGGCCAACAACAATCAAGATTTTAATTTGCCCCAATATTCAGTTGCAAGTGGGTAAAGAGGGACACGAGGCGATGACGGTTCAAGCTTCATCGATTATGTGTTAAATTACGCAGAGAGCAAACATCTTGCTTAAATGGAGCGCACAAAAAAGGCCGCCATTTGCCAAATAGACGATGCCATAGAAAATATCGACGCATATATGTTTATATTGCATGATGTTTATTTAGCTAATAACATTGAATATAAGTTAAGCGAATTCCATCAAAAGTTGCCTGAACTTTTGCTTGAATATTTCAATAGAAAAAAAATTCAGTTTGAGAAACGTTTTAAAAGCTGGAAGGCTATAAAATTAAATTTAATAGAAAATTTCGCTCATTTCATACACATAAAATTTTTACATAAAATTGAATTCAAAAGAAATTTCTTGTTGTTTGTTTTACATTACATGACAAACATTCTGTAGAATCAAATTTTTAAAAAAGTTTTTTTTATTAACATGCAATTTTTTTTCTATAAAATTAAATTTAAATAATATGTATGTTGCAAAAACGATAATAAAACATTTATATATAATTTTTTATTTTTTTTATTTTTTTTTTTAATACAAATACCAATATATTTGAAATGTGGAATATCTTTTTACAAATAATATATCAGAGATAAACACATTTAATCGATTATGACAATTTGTTGACAGAACAATAATTCCATTAATAATTTATAATAATATGTAAGTATGTATATGTTATTCATGAGTTGTTTTTATTTTTTTCTGATGTTTCTGCTGTTGATAAACACATTAATAATCCATGCACAAATCGTAAAACTTTGATACATCTCCTGCAATAAAAGCGAAATGGCAAATCCAAATTTAATTTAATATTTTATGCCCTTGCTTTTTTTATTTATCTGTTTTATTTATCTGAAACATGCGTACCTACATTTATGCTTGGCCATTATTTATAAGAATGAATTTGTCAGGATATGCGAAAATACATACAACGTATATATTTTTTTTTCTGTTTGATGTAGCTGATGTTGAATATGCATGAGACCTAACAAGCCGAAATGTTTATTGACATAAAAGCCCTAAAGCTCTCCTGCTCCGCGAAATACACAGACACACAGCTAGCAAAAACAACGAGTATAATAACAACAACAACAACAATAACAACAGATGTTGACCAATTTGTCAGAGCCATCACAAAATGTTAATCTTCTTATCTTCTTTGCTTATCTTGAATCTATGCAGGTCACTCGTACAAGAGCATCAACGACGAAATCATACTGGTCAGCATTATAATGGGCATTACGATAATCGTTCTGATCACGATTGCCCTGTGCTACATTGCGTATGAGAAATGCCATAAGAAGCGTGAATATTTTATCAACGCCTAACGGGTGCACATCACAAAACAAACAAAAAACATATAAAACCAAAGCTAAAAATGAAACAAGAGGAAACGACACACAAAGGGGTAAATGGCAAGGTCAAATGTCAACAGGACAGCCGTGGCAGGAACTGCTGTTACTGCTACAACTGCAACAATGTTGACGTTCACGCTTAAGTTGGTAAACGCGTACGACAGAGCCGAAGGCGAAGGCGAGCAGCCGGCAGAATTAGAGAACACAAACTCACACCCACACACACTTCCGCACACTCACGTACTGTTAAGATTAGTATATACATGTCTACTGTGTGTAGCATTTGGGATATTCATTCGATTTTCTTCGATTTCAAGTGCTCCCGAATTTGGGTAAAATATAGTGTATAGCTTGCACATGCACAGTGGTTGAAAAATGTTATAATAATGTTTAATACGAAAACTATAAATGTTCATTTAAATATTTACAATAAGTTCTTTTTTAATATATAATATATTTTTTTTATTCCTTTTTTGATTTGATACATTTTTAATTATTTAAAAATATTAGTATATGTTTATTATTTTCTTAAAAAGTTGAATTTATATTTCATAAAATAAATTAATATTGCAAGCTATACATTTTTATAAAAGCCTAAAACTTGCACTTGTATCAAATTTTCGAATCTATCAAATATGTTCCGATACATACAAGAAATGAAGACCAAGTTATTTTTCTTACCTGTCTCTCTCTCTCTCTCTCTCTTTCTAAATAGTTTTGTAAAGTGAAGGTCCAAAAACCTAAATTTCAGTTCAGGTTTCCATTTGCTGCATAGTAGAAATAAAATTAGAATTAACGATGCAAAATAATGCAATAATTGCAAAATATGCACATATTAAAATATATTTATATTTATATACTGTAAAATACTAAATTGAGCTTTATGTACAATTATCTACCTATATACATATATCTACACTACACAACCAATTCGTGCAACATAAAATGTTAGCAATCGATACCAGCTTCTCTACTTTTTATTTTAATTAAACGCAGCGCGATTCGGTTTAATTTAAAGTCGTATTAAAATGGAAATGCAGCAATCCTTTTATTTTATTATTATTTTTTTTTTTGTGAAGGTAACACCCTCTGTCGATATATGTATAGCTGATGCAGATGCCAATTTCAGCTATTGACTGCGGGGGAGCAGCTAGCCAATCAAAAGAAAACAGACAAACAGACAGACAGTCAGGCAGACGAACAGACAGAAGGACAGAGAAAAAGCCAACAAAAAAAGAAAGTAAAAATGAACTGAGTGAAGTGAGTTTTCTTATTTTCTCGTTTTTCCTTGCCCTTTTTCGGTGGCTCGAGGCTATAATAATAAAAACAGTAACGGAAACTGGATGCAATGCACACGAACAAAGCACCAGGAAACAATGATAAGAAGCGTCGCATAACAATTGTCTGAAAATAAAACGGGAGCCGAAATTAGGAGTAGAGACGATGGGATGCTAACGCGGATAGCTTCAATGGCCAAATCAACTTGAAATTAAATTAGTGGGAATGGTGCACATAAAAGGTTGTTTTTTTGACCACAATGAACATCAACTGAGGTTCCGACCTATTGAATATAAATGTCGGCTCTAACAGCTAACGCCAAAACACCTACACGCTGTCCACCTTTCCCACCCACACGCACTCACACGCACAAACGCACACTGAGACAGAAACACTCTCGCTGCCATGTAGGGACTAAATGTTAATCAGCTTAGCTGGCATGCATGCAATGTATCTTTATTTTTAGGCCCGATAAACAGGTTTGTGTACCTAAGAGCACGAAACACAAAGAAGAAGCTGTTACCAGGAAAAAAGCACAATAAAGACTCATACAAACGCGCCAGGCAACGGGCGTTATCCTGTCGCATGCCCTTAAAAATTAAACACCTGATTAATGGCAACGTTTGCTTAATCAAATAATATCGAGCCTAACAAATTGCCGTAACCTAATGGGAACACATCAATTCTTTCTCGTAGCCATTGACGTAGTCCATTAGGACATACCAAAATTTGGCCACATGTGTGTACTTACGAGCAGGTAAACTTCAAATGTCAGATATCGTACCAAATGGAGATATGTCCTTAGTCAAAGATAAGCTGCTGATATTTAAATTTGCGCGCGTAAAAGTAGGCAGCCGAAATTATGGTTTGTCTTTTATCGTGCCGCGCAAAAGTATGCAGCGCGTATGCAAGCGTATTCAATAATTGCCCAACGATATTGGATAAAATTCAAATTCATTCACTCCAAGAAAGCATTTAAGCTTGCAGTTCTCTTGAATTGAAACTGCGCCAACTTTGTTAGTTTGATAGTGGGGCATTAAAAGGCAACAAATTCGAAATGCGACTCTTAAGAAACAACAGCATCATAAACATGGACAGAGGGGCACTTAAATAATGCGACCTAAGTAAGTAGAGCATAACACAAATTGTAACGCCCTTTAATATGTTATAAAAGTCAACGCGAAAAACTTCACTAATTACCCGCCAAAGAAAATCCAGCATAAAGCTCATATACACACACATAAAATACCTAAGCAACAACAATTTTATGTTAGCCATAAGAAGCGGAAACAGATTGGTTGAGCACGCGAAAGCAGAAATAATAGGATATAGCTTGTCAGGATATGTCGTGTCAGGCGAATGCATTCATAATAATTTTATCCGAATGAAATTTTAGTAAAGCTGCGTCCAAAACGAATGACTTGTGCAATTTGAAATGGACCACGCACAAGCACCTAGTCACACACGGATAGACCCATACTGGCACATATATATACACACACAAACACGCATGGTGTTGCAGCTCTATAAACGTTCTTAGACACAAGTAGTAAACTTTACGTCCAATTTAATAGCTTTTTAGTGCTGTTGTCACACTAATTGCCACCAGAATATAAAAGTATTAAAATTACCGAATTACTTTACTGTCGTTGAAATACGTGTGTTTTCTATGCATTTAATCTATTGAACAAAAATCTATATACCTACATACATAATATATATACCCGAATTAATGTGACCATTACTAATATATTTATATATTTATTGTACGAGTAGTTTAATTAGAATGCAGCGCACTCTTTTTTCATGAAAAGAGGGACCAAACCATACAACAAACATTGAGAAAAACATGTACTTTATTTTGAAAAGTGAGATCTATAAATGTTAAAAACAACTACTCCTAAATGTTATATACTTATATATATACATATATGAATTGTAGCGAATTTGTTAAATTTAAATGATATATGAGATATTATAATGTACAACACAATAAAGATCTGTTTATGCATGGTTAATGTTACTGTGACTTTTATTCATAGCGATAAACAACTTAAATTGAAAGTGGCGCGCAGCTGTGTTGAACAACGAATTATTATGGTCTTCTTGATATCGATAGACCCATAGCATTCAATTAGAGTGCAGAATGAATCCAATAAGTGCTGCTATTAGCTATTATTAGCTATTAGCTTTTGTCCCATTAAATTTATAAGTAAACTGGTAAGCATCTTATTATTAATACGGTGACTAAGCGTTTGCGAAATTGTTAATTTAATTTAAGACTGATTAACGATTATTAGAATTTATATTTCCCTGAAACTAGCAGCAAAGAGTATGTTAATGTTGTACCGCTGTTATGTTAACAACATATCTGTTTGGCAACAACAACAAAATGTAAAAAGACGGAACTTGTTGCAAAAGTCGCCAAAAATTGTTTAAAAACTAAGGAGGGCACTCAACAAGCAAACAACATACACTGGTGCAGTGGTTAGCAGAGGCATAACAACTAAATGCGCATTAAAATGGATTTTGAAGTGCCTGAGCAACAAAAACAACACCAGTACCAACACCAACAACAACAGCAGCAGCAGCAACAACAACAAAGCACCAACAAGTTGTATGCGAGAAAGCCAAAGACGTCGCAGCAACAGCAGCAGCAACAGGAAAGCAGCGACGACGATGACTTGAACAACGCGGAACGTAAGAATCTGGAATTTGCACAAAAATTAGGCTATAGTGAGCAGTCAATACACACGGCGTTAACGCGTCTCGGTTCTGAGGCTAAACAAAACGATCTGCTGGCGGAACTTATCAAACTAACGGCAGATGCGCCGCGGCCAATAGTCACCAACAGCAGCAGCAACAGCAATAACAACAGTCATGTGTCACCTCCCGCTAGCAGCAGCAGCAGCAGTAGCAGCAGTGGATCGCTACGCCATATCGTCATCGATGGTAGCAATGTGGCTCTGTCACATGGTAATCACACCATCTTCAGCTGTCGCGGCATACGCATCTGTGTGGACTGGTTCAGACAGCGTGGCCATCGTCATATCACAGCATTTGTGCCCAACTGGCGCAAGGAGCTGGCCAACAACAATATAACCGATCAGGAGCTGCTCTATGAGCTGGAACAGGAGAGAGTGTTGGTGTTTACGCCATCGCGGCATCTGGATGGCAAACGTGTTTCCTGCTATGATGATCGTTTCATACTCAAGCTGGCGGTGGAAACAGATGGTATTGTGGTGTCCAATGATAACTATCGCGATCTGCTGCTGGAGAGCAACGAGTTCCGGCGCGTCATTCAGGAACGTTTGCTGATGTACTCCTTTGTGGACGACATCTTTATGCCGCCCGATGATCCATTAGGTCGCTCCGGACCTAATCTGGATATGTTTTTGCGCACACCGAGCCAGCAGAAAATAACGGACGCACAGCAGCAATTGTGTCCGTACGGTAAGAAATGTACATACGGACAGAAGTGCAAATTTCGCCACACGACGCAGCTTCAGCGTCTACCGCTCCAGGTCTCGCACAGTGCTCCACTGCACAGCAACGGTGGACAGCAGCTAGTGTCTTCCAGTAGCAGTAGCAACAATAATGCAAAGATGGCGGCGCTGGCCCGCACCAAATCGAATACAGTTGACAAAATCTCACAGCAGCAACAGCAACAGCTCTGTCATTCTTTCAATCAGCTGGACCTGGGCAGTAATAGCTGCGACGTGGAACCGGCGCAGCTGCAGAACCGCCACAAGAAGCTGCAAAGGCAGGCGCCGTCCCCTTCCTTTCGGTTGCTGGTTCCCACATACAGCGCGCCACATCAGCAGCAGCAGCAGCAGCTAGGCAACAATAACAATAATATCAATGGCAATTATCAACATCAGTATCTGACTCGCACACCGTCCGAGCCCTTGACGGATCAACATCAGGCCACCAAGCTATCCATTCCTGCCCACAATCTAGCCCATTTGTCAGCCTCCGACTCACGCATCAACGAGGAGTTGCACCACACAAAACGCGAGGAGCAGCGCAATATGCTACGCTATCACTTGAACAGTCTATTCCCGCAACATCAGGTGCATGCTGTGCTACAGTTATACCCTGATGAGACCGATGCAAAGACAATCTGTGCAGCAATACTTAATTTATTTCCGCATAATTAGACTAAA